TCCCATCATCCTCCACCAGCCTGGGAGATGTTACTATTATTGCCTGCAAGCTGGTGGGAATCTGGTTTGTTGACAAATTTGCTCGATGCCTCTTAGACCAGAGGTCTCCAAGCTTGGCCCGCTTTGTGACTTGTGGACTTCAACTCCCAGAATTCCTCAACCAGCCATGCTGGCTGAGGAATTCTGGGAGTTGAAGTCCACAAGTCATAAAGTAGTCAAGCTTGGGGATCCCTGTCCTGGACCGATGTTTCTCAAACTTGGTGACTTTAAAGCTGTGTCCCAGAATACCCCAGCCAGCCATATCTATTATGGATGATGGTAACTGTAGTCTATTGGCCATGCTGCTGAAAAATGTTGGTAGTCTGATCCTCAAAACCACACAGTATGTCATGAATTTACTTTTTTAATGCTGTAATATAGAATAATATATTACAGTAATAGAAAACCTGAAGTCAGCCTTTCCTTTTTTTTATTTTTGCACTTTTGTCTTTCTTTCACCTTGTTCCTTCCTTCCTTCCTTCCTTCCTGCCTTCTCTTTCTTTCATCTTTCTTTCATCTTTCTTTCTTTTCTTTATCTTTCTTTCTTTTCTTTTTCTCAGATTACCCCCCCCCCCTTTCTTTCCATTTCTTTTCTTTTCTCTCTTCATTTTAAATATTAGTTCTGGTTAGTTTTTAATTCTGTACTCAAAATTCTAATAAACTTTATGAAAACACGAAGATTAAGGTAGCCTAACCGACACGCTAGTTGGGAGGACGATGGAGAGATTATTCTTGACCAACCAGTTGGACTCATTTGGGCTGAGCGTGGCTATAATCCAAGCTGTGAGGTTGTTTTTTTTTCAGAGCGGACCAGCAGCGAGAATCTTCTTCGTCCTCTCTTGCCATTGCTGACTTATTCTCTTCACTCTTGAATTAGCAAAAAATTGTCCAGCTGAAGGACAGCACAGCAGAGGACGATCCAGTCAAGCAAGCAGGTGATGGTCAGACTGGGGTGGGTACGGTGGAGGGGGTTCAAACTTGAACAATCAAAGAGGCTTTGACAGGACCCAGGCCCGGCCAATCGCTTGTCCTACATGGGCAGGTGAAGGCCAGTTCCCTGCAGCCGTGAAAATGCTGCCTGGGGAATTCTGGGAATTGAAGTCCACCCATCTTAAAGCTGCCAAAGTTGAGGAACCCAACCTTATAATACAAGTAACCCTCGACTTACAGCCTCGGTTGAGCCCAACATTTCTGTTGCTAAGCCAGAAAGTTGTTCAGAGGAATTTTGCCCCTTTTTACATTCCTCTTGCCACAGTTGTTAAGTGAATCATGCGGTCATTAAACGAATCTGGTCTCCCCCATTGACTTTGTCAGAAGCCAGCTGGGAAGGCTACAGGTGGTGATCCCACGACTGTCAAAAGTACACGCCAGTTCCCAAGCATCCAAATTTTGATCATGTGACCGTGAGGATGCTGCAGTAGTTGTTCTGAACACCGTCCTAAGTCACTCTTTTCAATGATGTCAAACGGTCACTAAATGAATGGCTATAAGCCAAGGACTGCCTGTAAAGGTAGAACCAATATGCCTCATTGAGCTAGTCTCTTGATAAATTTTATGCAAAGGGTGGGTTGAGGCCAAGATGAATCTTGTGTATGGAACTCCTTGCTAACCTGGATCCCCTTTTCTCATATTTGCTTGACACAGAGAAAACCAAGTTGAAAGAACAGGAAGAGGAAACGCTATTTAGGAAGACGGTGATGGAAAAATATGGTAACCTTGAGCTGACTGACAAGTAAGAATTAAAGCCAGATAGCAGAAGAGCAGAATAACAGAGTTGGAAGGGACCTTGGAGGTTATCTAGTCCAACCCCCTGCTCAGGCAGGAAACCCTATACCATTTCGGACAAATGGCTGTCCAGTCTCTTCTTAAAAACTTCCAGTGTTGGAGCATTCACCGCTTCTGGAGGCAGGTTGTTCCACTGGTTAATTGTTCTCACGGTCAGGAAGTTTCTCCTTAGTTCCAGGTTGCTTCTCTCCTTGATGAGTTTCCATCCGTTGTTTCTTGTCCTGCCTTCAGGTATTTTGGAGAATATTTTGACTCTCTCTTCTCTGTGGCAGCCCCTCAAATAATTGGAAAACGGCGATCATATCTCCCCCCCAGTCCTTCTCTTTGTTAGAACATGGAACATAGAACAATAAGGATAGAAGGGACCTTGAAGATCTTCTAGTCCAGCTCCCTGCCTTCCTACAAGAAATCCAGTTCCCGCAACTGTTCAACCATACACTTTATCCTCCAGCCCCCTAATAAACCCTTTTTTAAATTTTTTGCCTCTTTCAGAGAATGGCAGCTTCTGTACAATTATTTCCAGATAATGACAGCTGTTGAGAACAGCCAACAGCAGTTCCAGTCACAAGCCTCTACCACGGACAAGATCTTGGACACGTTTTTTGAGGTATGGATTAAAAACCTCAGCTTGATTCCTTTTGTCCCTTAAAAAGCCTCCACCCCTTAACCAAATTAACCTCCACTTTTTAAAAGAATTCTGTTCTATTCCATTCTGTTCCATTCCATTCCATTCTCTACTCTACTCTACTCTACTCTACTCTACTCTACTCTTCTAGTCTAGTCTAGTCTAGTCTAGTCTAGTCTAGTCTAGTCTAGTCTAGTCTAGTCTCTATTCCAGTGTTTCTCAACCTCGGCAACTTTACGATGTGTGGACTTCAACTCCCAGAATTCTCCAGCTAGCGTTGCTAGCTGGAGAACTTTGGGAGTTGAAGTCCACACATCGTAAAGTTGCCAAGGTTGAGAAACACTGCTCTATTCTATTCTACTCTCCTATTCTCTATTCTACTCTCTATTCTATTCTATTCTATTCTATTCTATTCTATTCTATTCTCTTCTCTTCTCTTCTCTTCTCTTCTCTTCTCTTCTATTCTATTCTATTCTATTCTATTCTATTCTATTCTATTCTATTATCTCTTCTCTTCTCTTCTCTTCTCTTCTCTTCTCTTCTCTTCTCTTCTCTTCTATTTCTAGAATCCATTCCCAGTCTCTACTTTCACTGGACTATGGCTTATTGCAGTTATATTCCCTACTCACCACTAGGGGACAGTATATGACCAGTTTTCGTTCTTGCTGGAATTTGTCCAACTTAAGGAGTCCTTAAGAGTAGACAATAGATTCTTACCAATTATGGGACTTTGAATTCAAATGTCTTTGAATGCTTCTTCAAGGCTCTTTGTGACTCCTAAACGGTTAGTATTGAATATAACCACAATATGGAACATAGAGTACAAAACAGACTAATTTCCCTGCCTTCTCCTTACAGACCTCCGAAGAGGACTTTTTTCCTAAATGAAGAGAGATCCACAGTTCACTAGTGGGATTTTTTTTTTTTTAACGCTACCAGCAACCACTGCAGTTAAAAAGTTGACATAGCTGCTTATTTTTGATGACCTCACGATATCGGACAACACCGTGTTAATGAAATCAGGTTGTGACTCTTAGGATGCAGCAGTTTAAACCTAGCCGTCTCGCCGTCTGTGGATAGATAGCAGCTCCAAAATTCGTTTCAGAGATTACAGAACTTTAGATCACGACTTGACATTTTCTACCTTGCTGCCAAGCGGGCAATTTTTTCAGCTTTCAGACAGAGACCTCTCTTCCCCATCAATTTCAAATGTTCAGATTTAAATTGAAAATGTAATCCATGAAAATCAATCTTCAAATTTGGAAAAAGCAAAAGATTTTAAATCGAGCAAGCTTGGACCGAATCTAAACATTTTTGTTTAGCAGAGGGGTCCTTTCGGGGTGGGTGGGTAGCGCTACATTTGCATACAAATTGTAGATGTGTAACTGATTTACGGAACGCCTCCAAAAGGTGAACATAATAAAAAGGGTACATTATAAACCCTCTTCCTTGCCTGTCTGTTCATTATTGATAAGTTGAAGGAACCTAGTGGAGTGATGTGCAAGGCGTGAATGGGCCCACATCCAAAATTAAACTGGCTACAACGGTTTAAATATAACTGAAATTCAACTCCATGAAACCGATACAGTGAATAGATAAGACTTGCCACATTTTTAATCTCCCTTTCTAGTCACATCAAAGGTGATGTGACTAGATGTGGGCGTTTAATTTAGTGTTTAAGGCACCAGGCTAGAAAGCAGGAGACGGTGAGTTCTAGTCCCGCCTTAGGCTTGAAAGCCGGCTGGGTGACTTTGGGCCAATCACCAGGAGACGATGAATTCTAGTCCTGCCTTAGGCATGAAAGTGGGCTGGGTGACTTTGGGCCAATCACCAGGAGACGGTGAGTTCTAGTCCTGCCTTAGGCATGAAAGCCAGCTAGGTGACTTTGGGCCAATCACCAGGGGATCCTGAGTTCTAGTCCTGCCTTAGGCATGAAAGCTGGCTGGGTGACTTTGGGCCAATCCGTCTCTCTCTCAGCCCAACTCTCTCAGCCCAACCCATATCACAGGGTGGTTCTGGGGGAAATAGGCAGAAGGTGTATTTAGGTATGTTCGCTGCCTTGAGTTATTTGTAAAAATAATAAAGGTGAGATATAAATAAATAAACTTTGAAAAGTACTTTTATTGTGTGTGTGTGTGTGTGTGTGTATATACATATGTATATGTATACATACACACACACACACAAAATTTTAAATAAAGAAACACGCACTAAACAATCCAACTGGATCACAGCCGCACAAACCGCGAGGCAATTCAGTAATTGATCTTTTCACTAGCCAGCCTCAAAAGACCACAACTCCCAGAAGGCTATGCGCTTCCTATTGGTCCTCTCCCCGATTCTAGTCAAGGTCCCGGATGGTTACCGTTCTTCCGCCGGCTCTTGAGCTACCACTTCCTCCTAAAAAAAACCAAAAAAACACGAGCTGGCTCCCTCATTGGCTGCAGGGGGAAAAGAGGCGGGTGGTCGCCCTGCGGCGCTGATTGGACGCGTAAGGGGCTCCGTCGCGCCTACGGTGGCCGCGCGGGGTCTCCCGCAGCCGATTCGAGCGAGGAGAGAAGATGGCGTCCGAGGGACACTCCGAGCCTCTCAAGGCGGGGGACTTGCCGTTGCCAGGATACGGGGCCTGGTCGCCCAAGGAGCTACAGGCCAAGCTGGCCGAGATCGGGGCCCCGACTCAGGGTGAGCGGGGCCGCGGCGGTCTGGGGTTGCCCTGGTCTGGGGTTGGGCCGTTCGTAGTGTCGTGTGAACAGGCCGTCACGGGAAGCCAAACACGGGTAGGGCGGCCGAGCTAGGCGGGTTTCCTCGAAGGCGCTTCGTGGCAAAAGCCAAGCTTCCCCCTCCCCCAACGATACCCCGTGGGAAAGAACTTGGGGGGTGTCTCTCGAGGCCATCTAGTCCATCCCCTTACTGGGTGCAAGAAGCACCGTTATTAAGGTTGGTCGCAGATTCGGTTAGACAATTAGATGGATTATTTGGTATTTTGGGCCAGCTGCTTCCCAAAGACCTGAGATAGGCATAATGTATATCATCAATGCAGGCAGTCCTCGATTTACGACCGTTTGTTTAGTGACTGCTTGAAGTTGCAACGGCACCGCAATACAATGACTTGGGAACGTGTTTCTCACACAACGACCGTGGCAGCATTCCCCAGGGTCACGTGATCCAAATTCAGATGCGTAGCAACAGACTCGTATTTATGACGGTCGCCATGTCCCGAGGTCACGTGATCCGCTTTTGCCACTTTCTGACATGCAAAGTCAATGGGGGGGGGGGGGAAGCCAGATTCACTTAACATCCGTGCGACTCGCTTAACAACTGCGGTGATTCACTTCGCAGCTGTGGCGAGAAAGGTCGTAAAATGGGGGCAAGCCTCACTTAACAACTCTTCTCACTTAACGGCAGAAACGAGACTACCTGCAATATTAACCGGGTCACAAAATCTCAGCTCTTCCAAGTCAAGCTGCCTTTTGCACTTGACAGATGAAGAATTTTGTCGGTGCCGATGCTGTTCAAATGATGCTCCAGATGTTTGGGGATTGCATCCAAGGAGCCTGTGAATATTTGTACTACCTTTGCTTCCTTTTGCCACAGTTCTATTTCTATTAATATGTCTTTATATTTTCTGAGCCCCCCCCCCCCAAGTTCTTTCTCTTCTCCTGTCTTCAGGTACTGCCACCTCCACTATCCAGACTTTTTTTTGTCTTTTGTACCTTAAATTTCTGTGTTAGGTGCATGTCTGTTTGAATTCTAATCTCCCAGAGCACTTTGTTGTTAGTTGTGAAGTTGTGTCCGACCCATCGCAATCCCATGGACAACGTTCCTCCAGGCCTTCCTGTCCTCTACCATCTTCTGGAGTCCATTTACGCTCCCGCCTCCTGCTTCAGTGACTCCATCCAGCCACCTCATTCTCCGTCGTCCCCTTCTTCTCTTGCCCTCCATCTTTCCCAGCATTAGAAGGCTGATTAATCTTCCTTCTTGTTTTACAGCATCATCTCTGAATTATTTTATTTTTGTTCCCTTCCAGGTAGCCGTGAAGAGCTGGTGGAACGGCTACAAACATATACTCTTCAGGTGAAGCCTTATTTCTTGGATCAGAAAAAAAGGAACATTTTTTTTGTTTTTGTTTTTTACTGTAACTCGCTGGCAAGTCAAAGAAAGGAAGGCCAAATCACCGGAGAATCTGAGTATACGCAGATAGATTCCATAAACTAGGATCATATTAATGTAATCCACTCACTTCAGAAAGAAACAGGAATTTCAGCTGCTAAGAAAGTAACCTCTTGGTAAAGGAAAATCTAGAAAAGCTGTATGTTACGATGGTTGTTACAAACACGCTTTGAGCAAATAAGAGCAAATTCAAGCAGAGGACTAACTTCTTAGCTTGAAATTAGATTTTTACGTACTGATCATTTGAAACGTATTGGCCTTCTCTCAGCAGCCCTCCTTCCAAAGGGTGTCTTCCAGATGTGCTTTGAGAAACATCTGGGCTGTCCCAGATTGGAAAAAACTTGGTATCTATGGGGTTAAGCTCTAACATTTCCCTATAGGGCACCCCAAACCATCTGACATCCTAGACCAGGGTTTCTCAGTTCTTGGCTGCTCGAAAATGCAGGGACTTCAACTCCCAGAATTCCCCAGCCAGCAAAACCACACATTTTCAAGCAGCCAAGGTTGGGAAACACTATCCTAGACCAGGGGTAGGCAACCTTGGCTCTTTTATGACTCGTGGACTTCAACTCCCAGAATTCCTGAGCTAGCGTGGGGGAACTATGGCCCCCTCATGACTCGTGGACTTCAACTCCCAGAATTCCTCAGCCAGCATGGCTCAGCTTGGAAACCTCTCCCTTTCCCCTCAGCATGGCTGGCTCAGGAATTCTGGAAGTCCACCAGTCATAAAAGAGCCAAGGTTGCCTACCCCTGCCCTAGACCATCACTTCTGCTGGAGAGAAATATTGCAGGTTTCAAGTTGAGAAGTGCAAACAGCTGATTTATTCCCTCCCATTTTTTCTTCTTTTTATGTTTTTTTAACAGACTGGGATTCTACTTAACAGGCCTGTTCTGAGAGGGGATGATGGAGACAGCTCAGGCCCACCTCCTTTGCCAGTACAGGTAAGTCTTTGCGGGGAGCCAAGTTGGAAAATTGTACAAATAATCCTCGAATTATGATCAAAATTGACCCCCCCCCAAGTTTCCAGGGCAGTTTTTAAGAGAGTTTAGCCCATTTTATCACCTTTTGGGGTTTTTTGGCCACAATTGTTAAACGAATCCCTGCAGTTGTTAAGTGAATCGTGCAGTGATTCAGTGAACCTGGCTTCCCCCATTGAATTTACTGGTTGTAGCTGGGAAAATTGCACGTGGGGATCACATGACCACCGTGATACATACATACGTATCAGTTGCCCAACACCCAAATTTTGATCACGTGACTGTGGGGATGCTCCAGTGGTCATAAATGTGAAGGTCATAAGTCACTTTTCCCCAGTATACAGTTGTAACTTCGAAGAGTCACTAAACGAATCGTAAGTTGAGGACTACTGTTGTGTTTCCCCGAAAATAAAACCCAACTGGAAAATAAGTCATAGCATGATTTTTTTCAGGACGCTCGTAATATAAGCCCCACCCCAAAAAAGTAAGCCCCAGTTAAGATCCTCAGCCAGACGGATGCATTTAGATTTAGATTTTTTTAGATTTTAGATTTTAGTACCGTATTTCCCCGAATATAAGCCCTAACCGCAAAATAAGCCCTAATGCGTCTTTTGGATCAAAAATTAATATAAGATCCGGTTGTCAACGCTGCTAACATTGGATGTTTTTGCATTGACAACAGATGGAAATGTAGCCATCTTTTACCCTTCGCTTTTAGAGTTAGATGATGCTGGGAGGGGGGATGTGAATGAGAATCCAGCTAGACACAACAACACTAAACTTAGTGTGAGAATCAAGGTTATTGAGCCTAGAGCTGATAAAGAATTGGCACGGCTGGAGAACGGTAGAGGAAGCCTGTGCTTCAAGCTAATTGGGGAATGTGATTTATGACTGTTAATTGGAGGAGGGAATCGTGCTTTGATATTATGTGCTCCGGGGAGGGGAATTCAGTTTTTGGCTTAGGATTATGCAGTGCCGATATTATGCTACTTGGAATAAAAGATCCTTTAAAGTAAACAATGCCTCAAAGTTCTTTCGAAGGGTTTCATCTGTCGGAACCATGACACTGGTTTTATTTTTGGGAAAACGTCGTAGCTCTGTAGCCCAATATTTTTTGCTGCATGTTGAGTGTTAAGTTCAGTTATTTCTTTGAGAAAAATTGGGTGTCATGGCTGCACGGAGTATCTGTGAGCCTTAATTGTTCAGTGCAGGTACTCCTCAGCTTATCACCGTATATGGGACCGTTTCTGTTGTTAAGCAAGGTTGAATTTTGCAACCTTTTTTTGCCACGGCGATTAAGCAAATCGCAGCAGTCGTTAAATGAACCCCGCAGTCATTAAGCAAGCCTTGATCACACGACAGTGGGGTTGCTGCGGCGATCGTAACTGCAAGGGCCAGTTATAAGTTCCTTTTTTCAGCCCCATTGTAATTTTGAACGGTAACTAAGTAAATGAGGGGTAATGGCCACTTTCAAGACTCGTGGACTTCAATCCCCAGAATTCCTCAATCAGCATGGAGCTAGAAGTTTCCAAACTTGGCAACTTTTGTGGACTTTAACGCTGGCTGAGGAATTCTGGGAGTTGAAGTCCACAAGTCTTAAAGTGGCCATATTTGAAAAAAAAAAAACACCCATATATAATGGGCTTGAGCATGCAAGCAGGGCTTCTGAAGTCTGCAAGCTCAGGAGATCCTTCTCGTGAGTAATGCTTTTCTCTCTCATTCAGGTCCAAGGCATTCCTTTGCCCCCACCTCCAATGGGGATGCCCCCGATGCAGCCTCCCCCACCCCCTCCCCCTGGCATGGGCCTCAACTTCCCCATGGGTGTGGGACCCCCTCCACCGCCCCCCACTTTGGGCGTGCCTCTCCGCATGCAGGCGGTGGATCCTTCCTCGTTGCCTGAAGAAGAACGACTGAAGCTGGCCCAGCAGCAGGCCGCCATGCTGATCCAACAGGAGGAGAGAGGCAAGCAGGTAAGGACACACTTTGCTTCAGAGATGCACAGGTGTGTGGGTGTGTGTGTGTGTGCGCGCGCATGCGCCCGTGTAGGTGGGCAACAGCTCATTGGCTGCCTTCCCTAATTCAGTCTCATTCCGTTTTCTTCCACTCTGGCTCTTATAATCTGTCATTAATTTTCCCCCATACATAATAATAATTTTTCAACCAACGTGCTGTCTTGAGTTTACATTCGCTAATACCTGTTTCATTCCTAATCCTTTATTCTTTCCTCTAGCCACCGATAAAATGAGTCCCAAATTTGATAATATTCTGTTTCTTCTTTTTCTGTCAAGTCTCGTAGTCAAATCGGTCCATCTCTGCGCATTCTAGTATTTTTTTTTTTGACTATTTCTTCATCTGATGGTATTCCTTCCTTTTTCCATAGGCTGTTGCCCTAATGGAGCAGGTGCGCCACCAGGAGATCACCAAACTGGCCCCTTCAGTGCCTCGGACCGTTCCAGATCTGGGGCCAAGACCTCAAGGCCTGCCCAGAAGTAAGTCCTTTTGGGCCAGGACAGGAGGCTCAGATTCTTTGCATTGGGGAAAGCAGTTTCTGAAATGTGTGTGTGTGTGTGTGTGTGTATAAACCCCCCACAGCTGTTCCAAACAACTCAAGACAGAAGCGCACACAATGCTCCTTCCTCGTCCTATTTCCCTAGAGCAAAAAACCCACGAGGTGGGGTGGGCCAAGAGAGAACGGGACTGGCCCAAAGTCTCCCAGCTGGCGTTGGCGCCTAAGGCGGGACTAGAACTCACCGTCTCCCGGGGAGCAATTAACCAGCCTAGCTAGCTGAGAGGAATTCTGGGGACTGAAGTCCACGAGGCTTAAAAGTTGCCGAGTTTGGAGAGGCCCGTCTTAAAGCCTTCAATATTTAAAATTAAGAGTTAGTGGGTGGTAAAAACCGTGGACTTGCAAGGGCTTGATTGTTTTCTTGCAGACAATTTATGACCCAACTAGGTAACATCATCAGTGCTGGAAGGGAGTGGGGTTTTCACTATTTATATACAAGGGGCTTGCCCTGTCAGCGTTGGTGGGCTTCTTGGTGATTCCTTGATTAGGCTGTTGCTTGGAGTTGAGACCACACTCCACTCCCTTCTAGCACTGGTGGTGTTGCCTGCAGTTGTCTTTTAAGCAAGGAAATGACAGAAGTGATATATTGCTTCAGCTAATTGGAGTCTGGGTTTCTCTCTTCTAGTCAACCCCCCTTCCAGCTCCCTCATGGGCACAGCGAGTTCAAGACCCCGTGGCCCACCACCACCACCTGGAGAAGACAGTCGGGAGGTAAGTCCATTTATAGCCAGAGATGGCCAATGGAGGAGAAAGAAGACTCTTCTTTTTTTAACTATTATAAATGTTATTGGTTTTGCAGTTTTATATTTACATGTTTGGAAAGCAGCGTGGTTGATTGGGTTAGTCAAAAGTTCAATAACAGTCTTTAGTACATATCTCAGGTTACATCCTCAAATATTTCTTCTCTGTGTCCCTTAGCATTTGCTAAATCATAATTTAAAGCTAGTAAGTTTCTAGTTGTATCAAACTCAGTTTAAGACTTCATCGTCACATTTATCAATATCCATCACATTTTTACCGGTTAAGATTTTCTCAGAGTTAATTAGGTTTAAATATTTAAATCTGTTTTTTTTCTCATGTAAACCAACCCGATACTTTTACCTTCCTCCTTAAGGAATAAATAAAACTAAAAAGAGAAAGAAGAACGAGAATAAGAAAAAGAAAAATAAAATAAAATAAAAAGATAGTATACTACTTAAAATCCGTGGTAAAATTCTTTGTGTCCTCTTTCCACAGGGCTCTTAGTCTGATTCATCACAAAATTTGTCCACTCCATCGGCTCAAATGTCTTTTCTCTTTGCCCGCTCTTTCCTAAAACAAAAGTGTACCCAAAGCTGAACTCTTCTGCACGGATCAAATGTGCAGACTGATTATAATCTTTTGAGTATTGATTTTTGACCCTTCCAGATTGACGATTCAGGAGTGGGCCCCAAAATTCCTCAAGCCTTGGAAAAGATCCTTCAGCTTAAGGAGATCCGCCAGGAAGAGCTCACAGCTGTACCCGGCGTCACAGGTAAAGGGCCAGAAGTAGGGGTTCCTAGGAAGTCTAGTTCGGAGACACCCATCCCTGCTACAGAGAGATGGGTTATGGAATTACATTGCTTGGAATCTTTTCTTTTTAAAAAAAGTTCCTAGGCCTCATGATAACGGTGAAAATAAATGGATTGGCCGGGTTAATGCCAAGGCCAACGATTAAAGTCAACCCAAAGGACGGCACCCGGAATTGCTTCTGAGTGCTTTTTTTCTATGGTTGTTGGCCCATAGACAGAACCTTGCCAGTCAAAAGCAACTATCTGCATAGCTACAAGTAGACCTTGAATTACGACCACAGTTGAGCCCAAAAACTCTTGTCGCTAAGCGAGACCGTTAGGTGAATTTTACCCCATTTAACGCCTTGCCTTGCCACAATTGTGAAAGGAATCACTGCCATGGGTTCAGTTAGTAGTGAAGTGAGTCTGGCTTTCCCCATTGACTCTGGCTGTTGCAGAACACAGTTAGTCCTCGACATAACGGCCGCAATGGATCGCAAAATTTCTGTTGCTAAGCGAGACATTGCTTAAGGGAGCTTTGCCCCCATTTTGCTTTTTTCGCCTCGGTTGCTAAGTGAATCACTGCAGTTGATAAGCTAGTGGCACGGCTGTTAAGCGAATCTGGCTTCCCACCCTTGTCGTAAAAGGGGGATCACGTGACCCCGGGAGACACTGCGGCCGTCATAGATACGAATCGGCTGCCAAGCGTCCGAATTTTGATCACGTCATCCTGGGGACGCTGCAACTGTGAAAAACGGTCATAAGTCCCCTTTTTCAGTGCCGTTGTAGCTTTCAACGGTCGCTAAATGAACTGTTGTAAGTTAAGGACTGCCTGTTAGCAGCCAACAGGGTGCCTAGACCAGCATTCCCCAGCCAGGAGACTGTGCAGATAACACTGGGCGGTTACACAAGTGCTCTCGCCCTACAGAATTCAGGAATTGCTCTCCCTCCACATCCGGAAAGCGTCAAGTTTGAGAAAGATGTCGAGCGTGCAAGTTTTATAATCTTCCTGGGGGGGGTGTTTCCTCCTATTTTTTTCATCCTCCCCCTTCCCCAAAATTGTGCCCTCTTTGCAGACGACGACATGGAGACCGACTTGAGGGTGCTGGCTGGCATGTCTGCCTCTGATGCCGAAGACGACACTTCGGCCCTGTCTAAGAAAGAGGTGAGAAGACAACGGGCCGAGTCAGCAAGAATTTGGGAACGGCTGTAGCTGCGAGATCAGGAAAAACAGCTGGCAGGAGAACCTTTGTGAGCGCTAAAGGTGGTGGTGATGATGATGATAGAGTTGGAAGGGACCTTGGAGGTCTTCTAGTCCAGCCCCCTGCTCAAGCAGGAAACTCTGTACCAGTGGTGGTGAACCTTTTAGAGACAGAGTGCCCAAAAACTGCCCCTCTTGCCCGCAGGGCCGCCCACCGCCTCTACAGCTCGCCGCAGCGGATCGCTCAGGCAGCTCTGCAGCGCCTTCCGCCCGCGCCCCGCAGCATCATCTGCGCGCAACAGGGTGCGAGGGCGGAGTCTTGCCCCTGCAGCTGGGAATCTCTGGGAGAAATTCTGGGAATCTCTGGGAGAATCTGTTCCTAACAGCTGGGATCCTTTGCCGGAAAGCTAACCGATGCCGTCTGCTAACCTAGGTGTCCTTTCTCGGTTCCCTGAACAGAAAAACCGCAAGCGACGGAACCGGAAGAAAAAAAAGAAGCAAACCACCTCTTCCAAAAGTAACCAGGTTTCCCCGGCTGCCAAGGGCCACGGGGAAGAATCGGGGAGCGACGCTCCGGTGGAAATCGAGTACGTCACCGAGGAGCCGGAGATCTACGATCCCAATTTCATCTTCTTCAAAAGGATCTTTGAGGCATTCAAGGTATGATCGGATCTGAGAATCCCGATTGGGGCACAGATGCAAAATCGGGACTTTCGCAATGGGGGGGGGAGGGGGAAGTCCAGGCCCCCCTCAGCCCTCTTGGTTCAGGAATGTCTCCCCGGGACTTTTCAAGGCACCTGGGAGGGTCCCACCACAGCCACACCGGGAACAGTGAGACGGTTGGCTTCCTTCGCCATTGAATGATAACATCTGTCCCATTGCGATTCCATGTAGCTCCCTGTTATGGTGAATTCATTCTGGGGTTTATCTTAGTTTAATACATTATCTCCATTATTGTATTGGGTATACCTGTGTGTGTGTGTAGATATATGTCTCTGTGTGTGTATATATATGTATATACGTATAGATATGTGTGTTTGTGTGTATAAATGTGTGTATGTGTATAGATATATGTGTCTGTGTATATGCGTGTCTGTATATGTATATATGTGTATAGATATCTCTATATGTGTATGTATGTATATATAGAGATATGTGTGTGTGTATGTGTACAGATATATGTGTGTATACGTATATGTGTATATGTGTGTGTATATATATATATAGATATATGTGTGTATATGTGTGTATGTATAGATATATATGTGTG